AAAAAGGAAAAACCGAAGACTAATTATACATTGTTTAGAATCGTTTTTCGTTTAGAAATGGTTTATCGTAGCGTAAAAATGAGACGAATCGAAATTAAATTATACTCTATTTTATAGTCTCCTTTTTAACTTCCCTTCTAAAACAGTGACACGCTCATTAACAGTATACCAACGTTATTTTTTAAATTTTACTGAACCGCAACACATAGATTTTAGGAACTGTGTTAGCGTTACTTCTCCAGGCAACACCGTCGGGAGGAGAAAATCGACATTTTTGGGGGGACATTATGGAAATTGAACAAAAAAAAAACAAAAACTATTTTTTTTCTAAATCTAATATTTTAGATAAATTAATAACTATAAACCAACAATATTATACGATATTACACCTACAAAATTAATATTTAATATACTTATTTTTTTAGCAATTTTTAAAGTTTTACTAATATATATAAAAAAAAAAAAAAAAAACAAACCAATTATACGATTATAAACTAGTTCGTTTTGAATTAGAGGCCTGATCACCTCCTATAATATTACTCATCGCACTAGCGCCATCATAACATTGATTTCGCACATATAATCACAATTAATAATAAATCGTTTCAAACTATCCATTATTAAACGAGAAATATATAATGCATAGTTCCGGTAGCTAATACGGATTCAAATAACGAATTCCATTTTTTGCATGTCGCGTGGCCGAGGAAATATTTTCTCTGTTATTTTTATCTTATGTTCCGTCCTCCGGTTAGGCGCGTGATATTTTGCACACAATATCGGTAATTTCATTTTGTATCACGGGTTATAAACAAACGGCGTTATTGGCAATTATTCATGCGCGTCACCCTCCGCGGAAACGCCCGCACTCGCCCACCCGTAGCTACGGCGCCCGTCTCCGAACAGACGTTTTACAGCGTATATTTTTAAAACACCGAGCAGACATAATGCTACAGGGGATTCGTAATATTTTAACTTAAACGTTATTAACGCGCCTAGGAAACTGCTATTAGTTTCGTCCGTTTAAACCGTGTGTTTAACATGTACTCAGTTTAATTATTTTTACTGCCGTGACACGAAGATATGTGACACATACAGTACAACAATTAAAAATAATGTACACCGGCATTAAACATCGCGCCGTTTTGTGCAGTGTACGCACGTATTATGCACATTACGCAGACGACAAATTATATGTAAACACGGTAATTGTTGTCATAAAACATACTGTATAGTATTTTAGACCCAGTATATAAATGTTTAATTAAATTCTTTTTTTTTTTTTTTTTTAAAGACAATTTTATCTAATTACTCGAAAGGCTATCCGCTATTGTTTTTTATTCGGTTTTCGCGTTTGCCATAAGATCGAAATATGCGTACATATTAGCTATTCGAATAGTACAATGGTTTCGGACGCTCGTGTAATTGAAAGTCTTGATAAAAATATCACAAGACAATGAATATTATTTGATGATGATATTACGGTGTTTTGTATGGATACCGTATTATGGGAAACCATAATGTGCATTTTAGATTCTGAGTGGAGCGAAGAAGCGTATGGTTTTTACAAAGATGTTTATGTTTTTTTTTTCTGTGGACAACTTTTAAACCAGAGGACTTGCTTCAGATTGTTTACGTGTAACACGTTTTCTGAAAGGAAATCGACGTATCATAAAAAGACCATTTATCAATTTTCTCCGGCGTTTTCTCAACAAATGTGAACAACTGAGAAAAAACATGGGGAAATCAGGAAAAACGTAGGAAAACCGGAGAATTCGGTACAACATTAAACAAATAATATCGAAGAAAATCTATAGAGCTAATTTAATTATTTTACTGTAATATGACATGTATATATATATTGTTGACAAAGCATTACTATCAACTAAACTCCCCTCAGAATCGTTTTTTTCGTACGGTATGGTTTATAATTATTACAAGTATACATTAAATTGCCAATAACAATGACTACACCCGTCCCTATTGTCATAGTACGTCTTTTTTCTTGCTTTTTTTTTTAATCTAAATTATAAATTGTAACAGTGGTTCTCGACCTCTTAAATTCGACAGGCTACTCATATTAGATTTTCTAGACATAGAAAATAATTCTGAAGATTTTTGAGCCATTTATAACCATTCGAACTTTTCGGGTATTGTTTCTGAAAACATTGTTTGTTGTACAAAAACGATGGACAATTTAGCATAAGATTTATTATAAGTTACGCTTTGGATAAATAAAATTGAGCATAATATAATATTTTTTTTTTATTTCTAAGCGTTTTAAGTGTAATTTTCCACAAAAGTCGTTAGAGTCGAAACATTTCAATACAATGATTTTTCGTTAGTAATAGTTGATTTTTATTTGTTACTTATGTCTACGCTTTTACAGATTGAATCGTTTTATGTATTCTGAATTTCCAGCTTCCTACCTATTTGATTTTGCTGCAACGATATATTGTTTTAAAGATATTAACAGTATTAAAGTTATATTATTGATTCCGCTGTTACAGTAGTGATTTGAACTAGTAGGCAGTTTTAAGCAAATCAGTTAAATCCGTTATAGTAGTTATCGAATTTAGTACAAAAAAAATTATAGAAAATCATTGAAATGTTTATATCATTACTATAGTATTTCGGGCGAGTCACCAAGTTCCAAAAGTCTCATAGAGATTAATATATTATGTCGGTATTATTTTATGGGTTTATAAACCTGCCGTTTTACGGTGTTCAGTGTAGGCATCACACACTACACGTGGAACAATATTCAAAATTAAATAAAACAATATATTTTTTAACAATACGAGCTCATGAATTTAGATTAGTAGGCGTTAGGTCGCACAATTATTCGCCAGATATACTTGTTAGACAAACTTGTTTGGCGAATAAACTTCCAAATAAAGAGTGTTTTTGAATGTACAATATATTTTGTATAAGACGTAGGTGGAAAACGCTATAAGACGCCCACACTGTTTTATGATTCTTCTTTTATACATATATATATATATATATATAACTTAATCCGTTTAACTTGCTTAATACTACATAGTTTATTAGTTACATAAAATGTTACCATTTTTTGAAAAAAGATTAGCAATATTGTTTCGAATACCTATCTGTTTTTAAATACTGAAACTCTATTATTGTTTTAAATTCTTTAGTCCAACTATTATACAGGATTTATTCTTCAAATAAATTATTATTTCGTTAACAACAGTCAGGCAAACCGCCAAATAACTTATTCATCAAATGAACCTCATATGAGTAATCCGGCAATTAAAAACCGATAATTATCTATTTTGACATTAATGTGTCATATGTCTGAAGGTCGAAAAAAATCGTGTAACGTCAAACATGCAACCCTAGCAACGATAGTTGCTATACAAATATAACAAATTCCGGTTGTGAACAGGAAACTAACTAACGATAGTTTCCCTAGCGTGGTATTATTCCACGAGGTAGTAAACTAACGCAGTATTATGTTCCTAAATACATTTTGAACATTTACATAAATACAAAATGATGTTTCGTACTTTTCGTATCATAAAACATTACTTACAATTAATTGTTGATATAATATAAGTAAATCAACCCCGGGATAAGGGAACAAGACCAGGATATAAGATTAGTAGTATTCTTTATGGCCTTAGTGGCTTAATTAAAAAATATATCATCTTCTACTTATTTTCCTTCAACTTTATTCCAACTGCTAGGCCGGCAACCTTCGTCCTAAACTTCTATATGACGACTATTCCCAGTCTCTCACTTCACATGCATCGGCTGCCCTCATATCATTCGATACATTCATAACATCTAACCGTCTTTTTTCGGTTTTCTTTTACCACTCTTTCTACGTACGTTTATTTTCACTATAATTCTTACTCCTACTGATTCCTCTTTTCTCATAACATACCTAAACCATTTCAGTATATTTTCTCTCGTGTTGTCTACTATTGAAGCCATACCTAAGCTACCTTGTATACACTCATTTCTTATCCTATATTCTTGCGTCACTCCAATCATCCACTTAAGCAATTCAGTTTTCTTGTACCAAAATTATACTCTCAATATTCCGTTTTACTTGTAAATTATCCTTATAGATTTTTTTTTCCTTCGGATGCTACTCCTGAAGCCTATTGCTTATTTCTTCCGGAATTTTTCCATGTCAAAGCTATATCATCTACAAAAATCATGCATCACGGTACCTACTCTCGCATGTTGTCTCCCCCACATTTGAGATGGAACATTTCGCTCAAGCCTTGTTTAGAAAACCTTATGCTGTTTGATAGAATTTCACACGGGCTATCGATCTGGCGTAACTCCATTTGTCGCTTCTTACAAAAGGTGAATGTCCCGTGGGAGTAATATGGTCCTCTCCTAATGGGATAATGGTATTGTCAACTATAAGGCGAATTTATTCCTCTACCTTATAGAAACAATAACAATAAGCTAACGAGTAGAAGTCAACTTATTATTTTTACCATTTTTAATACTATTAAAAAATATATCGGAAATTTGTTCGGTCCCATAAGATTTAAATTTGACATTAAAATAATATCAACATAATTATTATCATAATATTTTTACATAACAAAGAGAATTTCTTTAGTATTATAGTGCTTAAGAAATCACCATAACCGCATGTACTGTCTCCGTCGTACAACTCCCCGACATTGCAAATTTTCGTTTAACAAGCCTACTCTGTGCCGTTAGTTTTAATATTAGAATGAATTAACCTATAATCAAATTTAATGGTTAGAACATGTGCTATAATTTTAATTTTTAAGCAAGATATTATTGTGTACAATACTAAGATTTAAACATGCTTACAACTCGCTTAAAAATTGAAATATTACCTCTAATATTAATACTAATAGCACAGATTTGTTACCTCATTTTAACTCATTATTTGTTTTTAGCATTACAGGCCATTTTGAATTTTAGCTGATAAAACCAAATCTTTCCATCTTTTCGTCTTTCTCTGGTTCGTGATATATTCCAGTTTACCACTCGTGACTGCATGGTCTCTCGTCGTCTCTCGTGCACTGTCCATCCATCATCGGCGTGGTCTTCCCCTTTGGTCTTGTACCTTTCATTTCTTTGCTTACGATTTTCTCCATTAGCTTACCGCCCGCTCGCCAAACATGGCCTTTACATTCTAATCTCATGCTCCTAACGAACTGAACCATATGTTTACCTTTTTTAAAGCACACTTGATTGATTCTTTGATTTTATTTACCATTTCTTCTCTTCGGAATTATGTATTGGACCATGTATTTTCCTCTCAAATATAAGGAAGATTTTTCATCACTCTTCGTAGTGACCCAAATGGCACAGGCATATGCAAGGACTGGTCTCAAGTAGCTAATATTAAACAATAGTTGTTCTTTTGTATTTTTTAATATAAGTTCTGAATAAAACCTATAAACAGTTTGCTAGAGCAAAGTTGTACTTGTTTGCAGCGGATATCTATTCCGCCATGCATGCAGTTTTGCCTAGCCTAACGTCACCCCTAGATATTTATACTTTCGTATCTGTTCTATAGAGCTTACAGAAAAAAAAATCGAACGATTCCGTAAACGCGTAATGAATAAAAAATAAAGTAAAACAAAAACAGTTTTGAATGCATTGGCGTAATTAAAAAATAAATTCGTTAGCGCGTAAATGCGTTTATACACGCGCCACATACGCACACAGAACTCACAATAACAATAATAATTATAATAATGCATTTGCTCACGACGACTGAACAATACGAATACTGCCGTGTTTACGGTATTTTGACTCTGTAACGTATATATAAAACGCATTCGACGATAACAATCTTTGCTTACACCTACCTGAATAATTATAGTCGTCAATTTATGATATATTGAAAATTCCTATATATTATTATTAAAAAAAAAAACAAAAAATTATAAAATAATTAAGAATTTTAATAATTAAATTATTATAAATCCAACAAAATATATTTACACACTCTTAAAATTCTATACGAATTTTATGTTTTTGCGTTTTCATTTAGATTCCGAGCGATTATTAGTTTTACTACGGTATGTTTTTATTTTCAATTTTTTTTTATCCGTTGACAACAACTTTTCTATCAGAAATAATACTCCAATCAAATACTTTATGGGAAATATCTTATAGAATTTTGAGTCTAGTGTATGTGCATTGAAGAGATCGGTTTTTCGATTTTCTTCATAAGTCTTCTTAATATTCGGTGTGAACTAGAAATTTGTTGTTGATTTCACCTTGACCACAAAGGAAAATATTCGACTTATGTCTAATATTAATCCGCTGAGTATCTTTTCCTTCGTTGTGTACATCATTTTCTTTTTCTCCTTCGCCTTCACCCCTGCTATTTAGAGGGTCGCCACCTAAACTTCCACTTGACCCGATCTTCAACACCGTCCTCACATCATCCTCAATCGCATCGAATCGCATATTTTTTGGTATAAATAAATAATTAATAAATAATTTCCATTTTTCTCCAACGTCTATTTTCATTACAATTCTTGCTGCTTCTTGTTCGTCTCTCCTTTTTCGTTGCACCCAGTATACACGATAAATTATCCCATGTATTATCCTGCCTTTCCCACTTATAACAGTAGCCTACCCGTGGACAGTATAATCACCTTTTTTTTTTTTTTCCATCTGTAAACCACTCGTCTGGAAGAAATCTTCGGTCTTCAAGTGCATCTTTCTGAAATCGAATTCCGCCTTAACAAAATCTAAATGAAATAACAACACAGACGCGTTATTCGAGCGCAAAATCAAACGCGATAAAATATAATAACGTTATATTGTAGACTATAAAAAAACGCGACCGTATCGATAATGACCGTAATATTCTGATTATTTTGTGTTGTTCGTAAAAATATGCTTACGTCATTTTAAAATTTTTATCGTCCGACGATTCGTCGAGAAATCCGACTCGAATCGACGAGCCGACGCACGTACAACCGACATGCGTGTAAAATTACAGTCAAAATACACTCTGGGCAGGCATATATGTATATAAATAATAATAACAACAATGTGATCTCCGTACGCGCGCGATAACAAACGATTGTTTGTTAGAGTCGTGGTGTTTTTTTTATTTTTTATTTTCAACGAGTGCGGCGACGAAAAACAAAATAACCACCGAGCAACTGTCGTAATCCGGCCGGTTTACAGCCGCGGGTAAAAATAGACGACAGTATTCGTATTGGGACCGCGACAAACGACGACGACGACAACGACGACGACGACGACGACGACGACGACGACGACGACAACGTGTACGCGATTATTTACAATCCCGTCGTCATTGTGCGGCCAACGGTAATATCGGTCGGCCGCAGTTTGCTGTCGGCGTTAAAACGACGTCCGCGGTCGTTCAGTTCGCGTGACGTTAACGGTACGGCCGAACGGCTGGTGGCGGCGGTGCGAATTTTTCTCCGCGGGAAAAAAAAAAAAAACCGAAAACCGTTTCATTTCGCGCGTGCCGGGAATCGAGGGCGCGCGCCGACGTCGCGCGCTACCGGAACAACACAGTCGTGTGGGGCGGTCTCGGACGGACGAGAAAAACGAGAAAACGGAGTGGCCGACGGAACGCCGATTTCGAGTACGTACAACAATGACAACGACGTCGCGCAAAATGTTAACGACAACCCGCGTGCGGGGCGGTACGCGGGCGATATCCGGCCACAAGTGGCCCGCGGCACGGCGAGCGGGTGTTTTTACAATGCGAACGCGCGCGAGATCATCGGATCCCCTCCGGGCGCGCCCGGGGCAGACACGGCGCGTTATCGTCGGTATCGGAGTGATTTTCGCTTACGTTTTGTCGCGTCCGAAATCGTTTGAAACGGCGGTGGCGCGGCGGCCACGTACGGCGATCGAACGGGCCGTGTTAAATTCGTCGATTTCCGATTAATCCGTTTTCGACTTCTGGACAGCGACTCGCAGCGACAATGACGTTACGCCTGCAACGTTCGGCGTTTTCCTATTGTTTTCGAACGAACGCACCGGCGTATCGGGAATCGAATACCAAATACACGTACTGTCGGAAATATAAAACTGCGAGGCGCTGTTACGCGTGCGATGTTCACGGTACCGTTGCGAATTTCAAGTCGACCGGAGACGATTACGGCCCGAGTGATATGCAAAAGTAGTTAGCAGTTTGGTTTTTAGCCGAAACCCTATTTGTTTTTTCCGACAATTCGACAGTGTAAATGATTGTCGTCGTACGCGCCGCCGCCGCATTTACACGCTACGTTTCCCCTTCTACACGACCCGACTGTCCTTTGCCGCGCGTCGCGGTCGCAAACGTTATTTGAACAGCTCGCGGTACTGGGGGGGGGGGGGGGGGGTTGCTAACGCGTCGACTCGGGAAAAACGAAAAAAAAAAAAAAAAATCAAACCGATCAAACATTTCGAGTGGGCAGGCGATAACTCTAATTTCTCGGGAACCGATCGAACGCCGGCGATCGGTACGTGCGGAAACTTTAACCGAACGGTGATACCGGAAATAGTTTAACGCGAACCGTGCGTAACGGCCGTGTCGGCGCAAACGCATAATCGCGATAAACGTAAACGCAAACGGATTCACGTTCGCGACGTTCGGACGGGACACGAACGCGCGGCGACAACACCCGTGACGGTACGGTACAGCGCGGTATCGCCCGTATCGCCCTGGTACACCTGGTTACGTTACACGGTTTCGCCGCACAAACAGGCCGTGGCCGCGTAACGTCATAACGGTCCGCAGGCCGTGGGTCGTACGGTGCCCGTGGCGCGTCGCGGTCACCGCGTATTGCCGATCGCCGTAGACCATTAAGACGGACGCACCGCGCGCATTCCCATCCGTCCCGGTGCCGCAGGCGTATAAAAATAACTGGAACGCGGCCGACCACTCGGATCGTACACCCGACCAAAATATTTCGTTGTCGGATGATACGCCGAGAAAAATGTTTTTTTTTTTTTTTTTTTTTTTTATCAGAACATTCGAACCGCTCGATATTTTACGGGACATTTGGATTTTTGAAATGAAAAAATCGAATCGAATCAAAATAAACCAGTTTGTTTTTAACAAAAGTCAGATCGGAATATTTTCCACGTTCGATTAAACAAGTTCAGTTACATCGTGAATAAAAACTAACCAGGTAAATTAGGAAGTTACTTAAAAAGTTTCTTTTAGGTTTAAACATTTTCTAACTTAACTTTAACTTTCTAACTAGTAAGTGCCCAGCTTTGCTGTTTATTTGTCCGTTCGACGCTGTTGTGCCGCTTGCGATTTTCGGCTACGTGTTTTGCGACGGTGGCCGTTTGTGGCGAATGAAAACAATTTTATTTGATTATTTTATCGCTGCACTACTGTAGTATCATTTTCTAGCAATATTTATAATAAGCTATTTCCATAGCTATACGTCATATATCCGTTTACTCAATCCATAAAACAACAAAGATATTTTGTGCCCGTAATTTTTCACTCGATAAAAAATAACACAAGTTAACTATATCCAAAATCGTAATAAAATTATAAGCGGTATCCCAACAAAAACCCTCCGTCAACTACGTGTTAAAACCCCGCTAAGGAAAAACAATTCAAGTTAGAAAAGTTGTGATAAATAATTTTTTAAATAATTTAACTTAGCTTAGTGGCTACTAATATTTACGACTAAAAATAAAGATCTAATGTCGACATAAATATTTACATCACAATTTTATGATTTATTAATACTGTTATAATACTATTTAAGTGCACACTATGAATACCTAGCTAGTTAAATTATCTGTAATAAATTATTGCACCTCATCAAATACAAACAATTATAAACAATTTCTATGCTATTGAATTTAAGAAATTGTTTAGCCCCATTTGATGTCACAACTTTTCTAACTTGTGTTTTTTTTCTCGGCGAGGTTTTCACACGTAGTTGACGGAGGGTTTTTGTTGGGATACATAATTCACTGAAACCGATAAATTATTGATCTACTGTATATTTTGAACGAAATTCATAGTAAAATTTCAAATTGAAGTTTAAAGAAGGGATAATTTTAGACGAGACAGTGCTTCACTTGCCGCCACTGATCTAAGGCTAATAATTATGTACAAAACCTTGTAAATATCTGTCCTAACGACGTGAAGTTTTACTGCGGAATTCCGTGGGATACGACAACCGTACACCGTACAAGTCAGATAATTACGTTTATGACGGTTTTAAACGTTGGGTACGAACTCCGTCCGAGTTCCTTATTAATATAGACGGGATATAATTATTCTGTCGCAAATTTCAATAAATTCAAATTCAGGTGTTTTTTCTCTCCGGATGACCGGGTTCAATATTATTTACTTCGCCGCATTATACCAAACGTCACAATTTCAAACCTTGTGCGATGGCATCGAATTTTTTTTTTATTTTGGAATATTACGGACGATGAATTTTTTAAATTTCGGGATCGAACAATAATAATGTTATTATTATGCATTGATTTAATATCGGACCATCATCAACGGTTGATTGAACTATAACAATACACTATGATGGCACTGCAGCAGCAAATATTTCGTGAAGCGATAATCGGTTTAATATCCGTTTTCATAATATCATGCCGGCAGTCTTTAATCTAAACTTAAAAATTTAAATAACACTGTAAATAATAAAATATAAGTAGGTATCGTCTCGTTAAATCGAAATACTATTTGAACGATGCTTATTGACTTTTCTAGAAAAATAATAATTGTTACAATGGCGGCACACTCTAAACGCGAACAAAAGTATAACATGCGAATGATATACTAGATTCTGAGCGAACCGAGAAGTGTATTGGTTTTACTACAATTACGACACGAGTTTTTCGACTATAGACAACTTTTTTACTATAATTCTTGCTCGGTTTAAAAACTTTAAAGGAATTTTTTTATAGCGTATTTTCGTGTTTAGCCGGCGCGTAGAAAAGGTTATTTTTCATTTCCTTTGTAGTTTTCTTAATTAATCGGAACGACTCACTATGGTCTGCATAATTATTCGCGTTCATTTCCGAGTTACCTCGCGGCAACGAGGGAACAAAAACGAATAGTAAACCTATGTTCAGAATCGTTTTTCGTTAGTAAAATTTTATCTTTGCTTACAGATATAAATTGAATTACTTTACATTACCTATATATCCTTCCTTTTAACTTTTCTCCTTAAATAGTGGCACGCACCCATCAGCGTTATCATCAGCCTTTTAACATTGTATATTGTTCATGCGATTTTTGGACGCAGTACGAAGTAACCACGTTGAAAACCGTGTCTGCCAGGAAAATGATTCTAAGATATCATCGCCATAGTACGTTCACTTTACATTATCAAACCGATATTATAACAATTATTTACGATTCTTTAAAAGTAGTTTTTTTATGGATATATTAGTAGTAGATAAATATTATACATATGATATAATAATTAGTAGTTAAACACACTATCGATAAAGATAATGTAATAATGTATATATATATATATATATATATATATATAAGTGTGTTTTCGGTAAAAAAAACTCGTCATTCATTACTTACCTATTGTTTAATAAATATTATAATATTTTTTAACAAATATTCGTTTACAAATGAATAATGTCGAAATTAAATTATTCGTCTCCTATATGTTTAAAAGTTAGTAATTATTTGTCATCCCGACGATACATTGATTTTAAATCGTCGTGGAAATTCCGATTGTTATTATCCACCTATACTTAGTACTTACTTATCATATTATTATTTAAATTAAATTAAATTATCACCGTATACATCGTTCGTTGTTTTTATCATACAATATATCGTTACAGGAATGTACTCGACAAAAACAAAAACACTTATTGTGTATTTGTACTTGGCGGGTTTAGTGGAGGGCTTCGAAAATCACCAGAGCATCAACGGCTGTACGTTCGTCGTCCATCCCGTCTGCCCGGATCTCTCGATCGATTTTTATTTATACACCAGGTAATTACGATTTTGTAATAACAATGTAACGCACGCGATCATTCTCCAATTATATTATGAGGTAGAAATTAATAATTCTAACATTATATATTATAATAAATATAGTGGCGCACACGTTATGTGTCGGGGGGACCAGCAGAACCCCATAAAAAAATTGGGTGGCGGATGTTCGTTGATCGTTGTTATAGCCTTAGTGATGGTGATTATTATTATTAATTTTTTTTTAGCATAGGGCTAGAGTCTCAAATGCCAAATAGTCTATATTGGAATTTCTTTGCTAATGGTTGGTGGGTAGATGGTCACTATTAGTGTATGTTCGACCATGTTAATAAGATTGAGTGTGCTCCACTGAATTCACAACGTTGTTAAAATGTTTTATAAAGACTATTAATTTTTTTTTATTTTGGATTTTATATGATCATGAGCAATTCAAATATTCATAGATGAATCATGCTATCGATTTATTACTGGTCTAACAGGTTACAGTTTATTACATTAATGAATTATAGGTAGAGGTAGTCAAAGGTAGTTAAATAAATACATGTGCATGTGAAACATGGTCCTTAAAAAACAAAGATAACGGAAAACTTGTTGCTGTACGGAACTATGAAAATCGTATGAAATATATATGATCCGGCATAAAATAGTGATATAAAAAGCTTGTTAAAACAAACATAATGAACAGTTGTCTTGCTGATATGAAAAAAAACAATATATTCTCTTGTGTATGAGGTAAACGATTGGGAATTGGAATGATTGGGATATGTGTGAAAGTCGGATGGGATTTCGTCGAAGAATATATTTATGGAACAAATAAATAACTAACGATTACTTGATAGACCCAAGGTTACGAGAGAGAGACATGGTGTGGAAAAAGGAATGGCGCTGGGCGATGGACCGGAAAAGATTGAGATACTTTTAGATACTGGGCGACGCGAGGAATGTATTGTATTGGTTTTATAATGATTGTTTTTTTTTTTCTGTGAATAACTTTTCTATCGGAAATTTCGCTCTGATTTTCAAGTAAAGCACTTTTTTTGAAAGAAAACTTGACTGGGGTTGTACTAAAGTACTACCCCAGTAGTACTTTAGTACCTTAAAAGGTGATCATTTTTCGATTACTCCATAGGTTTTCAAAATAAATGGAAGAGCCGGAAAAAAACGGGAAAATTTACGAAATGTTTTATTTTTAAATCGTAAATATTACGGTCTTACATGTATAACTGAACTCGGCTCAGAATCGTTTTTCGTTAACAATGATTAATCTTTGCATATAAATAAACGTTAAATTTCCCGTATAACTTCTAATATTATCTAATATTATCCGAAATTTTAACTTATCAAGTTAACAAAAAATGTATAGTCCAATATACTATTATAGATAATCGATGATCAACTTGTGAGCTTCAAAAATCAACAGTTTTCCTTCAAAAATCAAAGGTTATTGTTTCCTTCAACATATACATCATTATTTTAAAAATATGTTCAAAAAATATATTGGTATACACAAGCGTGGATCTAGAAATCACAAATGAGGGGGAGGCTAAACCGGAAATATATGCAAATATCGTTTTTTTTTTTTTTAAATTTTTCGTCTTTTGTTGTAAATAGTTATAATTTAGACGTAAGCTAATAATTTATAATTTAAACATTGCCGTTGAATTTATTAATAATCATTAATACACCACGCTTTTGATAATATGATACTCATATTGCTGTCGCTTATCAGTTGATATCTGCTGAACTAGATCAACAACTTTTTAATGTAATTGTCAATCGGTCACCTCGGGTATTGATATTGTTATGTATTGTTAAAAGATAATATATTAAAAAAACGGTCGTTTTATTACTTCGAAAATCGAAAAATAAATAATTTATACAAATACGTACGTAATAATCTAAGAATATCTAAGAGAATTAAAAATACGGCCGAATTGGGGGAGGGGGTAACTCCCCCTAGCCCACCCTCCCTCCCTCGGATCCGCGCCCGGTTTTATATTATGGCGACATTAAAAACAAACTCAGTCCTTTTAAATCTTCTGAAATAGCAGTTTAGTTTTTTTCGACAATTTTCAAATAATATCTACGAGTACGCAATATATTGTACGGGTATAACCGGCGGTAATCACTGGTGATAATTGATAGCGATGTGCGAGTGTCGTGTGTTATAATATATATTTATCTGCGGGTACAACTGTACGATGCGCGCCGAAGCAGTACGAATTACACGCACGACCGTTTAAAAATAAGAGTAGACAAAAAACGAAAACAAAAAAATCGGCCGGTAATGTTCGCCGGGCGAATTCCGCGGACCGCGTACAGGTAGAGCTGACAGTGTCGCGTATTTCACGGCGGTAAATGAGATTGCGGCGGGGAAAGGGGGGAGAGAATTTTTTTTTTTTTATTTAGTTTATTATAGTCGCACACTGCAAGACCCGTCGCTCTTCGATTAGCCGACGCACAATATCGATACGCGTAATTTTTCTCCCTTTCCCCGGCAAAAACGTCAATTATCAAACGCCTAAAATATATGCAACGTAATTTGTACGTTCGACTACACATCCTACGCCCGTACACTATTATTAAAATATTTCCGTGCGTGTAATAATACACCTAGTTGCAAATGTCTACGCGGACAACACCCGTTGTGCAGGTGTGAGCTTGTTATGTATATATAATTTTTTTTTTTTTTTTTTTTTTTTTTTTGATCGCAGAGCAAACCTACACGAACCTCAATTGGTCTCGGCCGAAAACGTTACCGAGTCGCATTTCGTGAAAGCTCGGCCCAACAAGTTTATCCTGCACGGGTTCAACAGTAATTTTAAATTGGGCTCGCTCCAAAACATAAAAACCGGTACCTTTGCACTTTTATTGTACGATATTATTTGGAAATACGCATTCGGGTAGGCGCTTAAAATCTAAAATGACAAAAAAAAAATATATTTAAAAAACCTTCGCATCTATAATATAATCATGGTTATGCAGTGGCGTCATTTGGAGAGGGACAGGGAAGGCATTTGCTCCCCTTGTCATAAGCGGTCCTCTGTTGGGTCGGGTATGGGTTAGTTTCGGGTCACAAGCCTGCAAACATAATTCATGATTTATGTTGCATACGGCCATTGTGAGCTACAGTTTTTTAAGATTTATTTGTGATAATAATCGTGATAAGTGTGATAACCGTACAAAACATTTTTTTTATTGCACTTTTTGTTAACACTGATTGCACTTTAGTTCAAATTGCCGGGTTAAGAGTCCATGTAAATTTTTGGAGTGTCTATTCTTATCTAATTTATTCTATGATTATACTGATGTCCACGGTGACACGGTTAAATTTTTGTAAGTACATGTACACTCCATGCATATTGGCGTAAATAGAACATAAATTAGAGGAAAATTCACCTCAAATTAAATCTACATATAGTCGCCAATAGGCTAATAGGTTATATATGTAGGTATCCCTTTACATATCTATTTATTGTTTAGTCATTGTTATTCCTCGAAAAAATGCGTTATTCATGCCTATGATAGTAAGTATGAAAAAAATGTAATTAGGATATTTGTATTGAGATGAAAATGTAATTGTGACGGATGAATTAGCGAGTGGTTTTTTTTTTCAGTTTTATTTTGGGTCTGTCAAACCTTTTGCCCCTCCTCTCGAAAACTGAAACGACGCCACTATGGTTATGTATGTAAAAATAATTTAAAAACCATATATTTGAACAAAGCGTGAAAAATATACAAACCAATTGTTTTTCCATTGTAGTGTGATTTTTTGTTTTTGTATAACGGTCCAATTTTTTTTTTCACTTCAAAAAGTAACTTTCTGTTAATATACACTTTATATGGGACAGCCTTTTTCACTTAAAAAAAACAATACATTTAGGTACTATTTATTAAAATAGCAAACACGTAAAAGTGCTTTTACTTTTAGTGAAAATGTAAAATTACTAACTACCTAATTGTTTAAATTAACTAGGTTAGGTGACCGCAAAGCACTTATATTAATACGGCGATAATAAAATTTATGTCGAAAAAAATGAAAATTTAATGACTTTATAACACGGAATAAAACTAGTTTAAACTACTTGAGATATTAAAAAATAAAAAGAGCTGATACTGGAGACGGGTGTGCAACTGTTGTAGGTGGGAAGTTGGAAAGGTAGGATACATAAGGTTATTTAATTAATACCTGTAAGCAATGATAAACCATTACCAATAAAAAACGATTCGGGGTGAAATTCGATTATACTATTTTGAAAGGGCGTACACTTTTCAATTTTCGTCAAAAGTTCATTTAAGTGCGACTTATAATAAAGTTTACAGAAATGTAAACAATGAAACGGTAACGTTTCGTCGATATTTGCCGATTTTCTTACAATTTTGATATCGGTTTTTCCCAAAATCAAACTTTCCAATAAAATAATGAGCTGTTTAATGCATCAAATAAACAAAAGTTTCCTTTTAGGAAATTTGCAACACTTGATACATTGAAGAAAGATTTCATTTCGAAAAGTTTTTTATACATTTGATAACAATCAATCCTGCACTCGGTGCTGTGTAGAGGTATCGGACGCGTACCGATTCCTCATTTTAGGGATGGAGCTCCTCTACTAACTTTTTTTATTTTTTTGTGTACTCAAACTATATTTGTTTACTGGAACAAACTAATATCCGAAGTAATATTTATTAAAATATGGATTTCAATTGTTGTCAATTATATAACGAATTTTATCTATTTTTAATTTTGAAACTATTTTTGACATTGGTTTGATACTATTACCATATGGTAGGTATATCGATATTTTATTACGCGATACCACAATAATCAAACGATACGGCATAGTTGAATTTATTTGACTTAATTTTTGACCATGCGGTTACCATGCAGTTATTACTCTATATCGGTAACATACGTTATCCGCAGAAAAGCGATAACAAAAAAAAAAGATGAAATATCAGGGTACAACATTCGTATAATTTTTATTTTCTACAGAAACGCTGCGTATAAAACGATAAAAATTAGTCCATACGTAAATAAAAAAAATACAACGCAATTGTGTAGATCATTTGGGTTTCGAGCTAACAAAGTTCTTCGGCGTTTAAATTGTTTAAAATAATTTCGTGTCATAATAACGCGGTCAAGTCGAACAGGTTGGAACCGCTTACTAGACGATTCGTCCGCTTGACATTCTCGTACACATGGACAACGTTGCATAATTGACCCCGTCAAACGATCGAGTACAGGACCCACGTTGAGTCGGTGTAGTTCACTGCATACCGAAAGAAGAATACGGAATTTAAAAATAATCTCGTTGTAATGACCGGCCGGCGGACTGTAAACGAAAACAGAAAACGCATTCTCCCGATTTTTCCTACACGATGATTTATAATTTATTAAATAGCAAAAACCGTACGTTTATACATTTGAAATTCACATTGATGCCCTCTCCGCAAACATGTTTTCGGTGACATACAATTTTCCGATCATTATAATGCGCAGTTACTTGTTAGTCGGTTGACAGGTTGTTTGTTTTTTTTTTTTTTTTTCAAATTTTTTTTCACACATTTCGATTAAACTTTACCTGTCCGTCGTTCAACTATAATAACGATCTGCATATTATAATATTTACCGACCATCTGCTGTTGTTATTATATTAATATAATACACGTGCTGTTGTTATTGCGTTATCGAAGTATTATTCGGACACGTCCGCCAGACTTTTACTGTCCGTCAATAAGTATTATCGGAGTTTAGAAAAATATCGCTTGTCAAATTTTGATTGTTCTTCAAACAGGTCTTTCGTACGATGTTTTCCAACGAAAATAATCAGCAACATGAATATTTTAAGACTCCCGTATAATAGGTATCGTGCGTTATATTATTATTGTTTACGGAATTTTCCTGTCACGGACAAAACAATAATTTAATAAAAATATATTTTACGTGCATTTTCATACCAACGGGGAAGGGGCGGGGGAGCGCAAACACACTGTTTATTGTGTGCTTCGCACTTTTTCTGTATGATTCCGTCTTCGTTCAGACGTTTGCTTGTTATTTTTAGTTTATTTTGTCCAAACTCGTAATGTGTTATTATTCGATGTATAACCTCGGCACTATAATTTATACACGTTGACGTTTTAAACAAATAAATGTATTAAATATGTATATTTAAACATTTTGACGTGAAATTCAGAGGTCCTGTGCAGATATTGATTTTCCCAACATTACTCGAAATTATAATAAGTTTCACATGGTTTAATAATATTGGTCATAGTGTATTTGTTGTTCCGATATTGTAATCAGTATATCGTAATCACGACTAGAGCAGTTATTCATGTGCTTTTGTATATTAGCAACTATTGGTAAAAAATGTAACTAGTTTGTACCAAATTGCGTTTCGTGCGTTTCTCATTACCTAACAATTGTATACGTACAATTTTTGCATATTTTGAAATGTTAAATATTTTTTAGGATTTTCTGCATATTTAGAGCATATAGTTAAAGATTCCCGTACATCGTTAAGAAATTTTCAATTCAATAAATCGATTATTACAAAATAATTGTTCATAAATTTTAGATAAAATAATATTTACTACGATTGATTATACTAATAAAATACAGTTCAATTTTCGCGTTTACATTTATTTTTAAAAATTTTTTAGAATTTCTATTGTTTATTTTTCTAAAGCGTATTTTTAGTGTCTGTTTGAACGTACATCATATTTAAAGGTGTTTACTAAACAGTAATAGACATAATGCTAATATACTATAATATCCTAGTTGCCTGTGATAATATACATATTACACTGTTGTAGAGAACTGATTTGAATGTGGTGTAGAATATAACCTAAAACGAGAGCGTGGAGACTCTGAAAATATAATTGTTAAAATCCAATTTCGAATTAGATATTTATTACAACTACCGAACAACGAGTCTTATCCGCGGCTGGTAGATAATATAGATAACGTCATGCCCGTTTCGAAGGGGGAGTAACCGCCTCACTTGAAGATCGCGTTCGGTGCCAATACCGCTTGTACATACACTTTATACTTCAATTTGGAACTAGAACTATTAATGGAGAATTATGTAAGTAATTAAACAATAGACGAGTAATAAGAGACAAAGCACATTCTGCCGAACGTGCCAAGTTTCCGTACACGATTCGAGTCTAAAATAATAATAATAATATTATAACCGTACTAATTATTGCTGTACTCCATGTCTAATATAATATTGTGGTTAGACTTAATAAATGAATACATTACGTTCAAAGTTGCATCGCTCAAAACGGTAGGTATAACTATTAACACACAATACTTGCATATTATTTTTGTAGTAAAATTTTCTTTCGTTATTTTAATAAATTAGCAAAACCGGAAAAAAAGCATAAATAACGGGAAAATTTACGAAAATAATAGCCTGATTATTATATATTTTATGTTTTTGTTGTAATTCGGTTCGAAATTTTCGTAAAGACTCGAAATTCCGACAGAAAATTTACGTATAATATTTCTATATGTGTTAAAAATTAAAACATTTTTTTTATACATTTTGAGCTATTTATAGATATTTTAGTTTTACGAGTGTTTTTATTTGGTAGATACTGTGGATAAAATTGTTTGAAATACTTGAAAATTAAACAGGAAGTTCATTATAAGTTGTGAATAGTGCTCAAAAAAAAAAAAAAAAAAAGTTGATTAAAATTTAGTATTTTTATTTTTTTATTTTATAAGATTTTTAATATCGAATTTTGACAAAAATTGTAAATATTACGGCCTTTCAATACATGTATCGGTTCCGTGACGGTTTTTTTTTTAACAATAACTCATCGTTGTTTACAGCTATAAATAAAATGACTTTATTTATTAAACCTTACCAAATTCTCACCTACAACAGTGCCACACTCGTCTCCAGCTCTTAGTATCAGCTCTTTTTATATATAGTTATACTCGTGTTAAATACTTTAATATCATCCTGTATGTATTTAAAAACTATATTTAATATGGTACGTATTCTCAGGAAGCTTCAACGAAAACCCATTTATATGGCATATCAAGAATTTATGAAATTTGATAACATCGCATTAATAGTATAAAATAAACTTATATGCTCTGTTGCCTGATTTGAAAAATTATGTTATTTGGATAGCCAAAAATGTTATAATTTTAAATATATATTTTGTAAAAATTTATAGTCGATAAACGTTATGCCATTATGTTTTGTATAGAACGAATATCCATTTCAATATACCTCCAAATGTATATGGAATACCTATATACTAAGTTGTAGTCGACTTTAAACGGATCATTTTTTTTAAATTTGTTTGAAGTTAAATAAGATAATATATTAACAACGCTCGTGTTATTAAATGCGTACATACAAGTTATATTATTCTGCGTTTGTGGGGACAGGGGGACCACAATACAGAAGCGGTATTGTTGGAAATGCATCAACCATAAACTCATGGCATAATACAATAATGAATATTTATCATAACGATACAATAAATTAATGTAATAAAGGTATAATAATAATTGTGATTGTAGAATTACTGATGCAGATGGACGTCAACGTGTGGATGATCGATTACAGCGAACTTTCATCAGGGCCCATGAAATGCTATCTAGCCGCAGTGTACAATTTGCCGTCGGTGGCTAAGTGCGCCGCCTTGCTTGTTCGAAAAATCATAGATATCTCCGAAGTCAAAGACCCCAAAGAAGTCATGCACTTGATTGGGTTTAGCCTGGGTGGCCAACTAACCAGTCAGATCGCTGAACAAATGAAACCTTTTTCTTTGCCTAGGATCACAGGTACGTATTTTGGCTGCGTAGACAGTTAGTGTTTGGTTCTTCTTCTCTCGAGGTTTTTGGTATCACGATTTCAGTCTCAGACACTATTCTATACCCTATATTGTGAATACGGGAAGGAGTTACAGCACGTTTTAATTAACAGCGGGTACCGGTACAAAATCTAATAATTTAACTTTAACTTTTGTTGGTTTTATCACGTGATGTTTGGAGTAATCAACCTTTCAAATCATTTCTGAATAGCTGATCCACTGGTCCTCACATAAAAAATACACGTAAACGCCACTAGTGGAATATGATTGCTCGGTGTTTCTATCCTATTAGATGAGACCAGTATAGAATTTTGAGACTGAATCTCATAGCCAATCTTCCTTGGGAATTCAGCTCATGTGGGCAATTTTTGATTGTGTGGAACATTGTTGGGTGCTAGTATAAAAAAGAAAAAAAAGAAAAGAAAAATAAAAGTTTAACAATAATTGTATTCGTTGTTACATGGTTTGAACTCTATATTGAGAAAACCTTTTCCAAACAGCTAAAAAAAAAAAAACCCAAATTTACAGCCCTAGTCATAACTGATTAGAATGTTATTATTGTTTATGTAATATAATAGCACTGGATCCGGCTCTACCGCTGTTCTACAGTTCGCATTTTAACAAAAGATTGACCCGGAACGACGCCGATTTCGTGGACGTGATCCACACGAACGCTATGATCCAAGGGCAGTTAGAACCTTGTGGCGATGTCGATTTCTATGTTAACGGCGGTTTGGCACAACCGGCTTGCGACAACAGCTCGAGTAAGTGTTGGGGAAGTATGTTTGATTTGCCATCGGAGGGTTTTGGGACGTTGATTTTGAAAAAAAACTATCGCCTTTTTATGGTTTTATACACTGTACAATAATCGATTGAATACGATGTCACCGAATGAAGACCAATAAAGGCATACAAATAAGACATATATTTGTCGTGGTGATATTATCATACTTTTATACTACGGCTAAACCGTTTAAAATAAAAGTTGTAACCACCGAAAATTTTTCGAAAATCTATTTTATAACAAAATGGCTAATTGGAATTTGTCTTAAGAAAAATAAAGTACAATTTTAATTTTATTATTTTAAGATTCCCATCTAAAAAAAAAAAAAACTTAATAATATTTTAATTGTAACGCATATGTCTTACTAATTATTAAAAAAAAAATTACACAAAAATTACAAAAAATGAACAAAACAAATGAGTTGTTTTAGGTCAGATCTTTCATGTCACATCGTATACGGCACATTAGTGTCGACCACGCTTAAATATTATATTTACCCGTTGTCCATCTAGGTGTGATTATGTGACATCTAAAATTATATTTTTTCCTAAAATAAATTTCAATTTTTTGTTTAAAAATATTTTCTTTACACGATTTTTTGAAATTATAGTTTTTTCGGGCAGTATCGGGGAGAGGGGTTGGGGGGGTTGCGTGGTCAAAATAATACCAGCTCTATCAGCTGCTACATAAGTCTTCGCGCGTCTATGACTAAACGGTATTAATTATACTCTCGTAAAACGATATTATTGTTGTACAGATCCGATAAACTGCAATCATCACATGGCACCGGTGTACTTTGCCGAGAGCGTGAGGTCGAAAGTCGGCTTCTGGGCGTGGCCGTGCTCGAGCCTGTACGACTACTTAATCCGAAAATGTCCTCCTCGGGGCGATCACCAGCTGATGGGTGAATTCGTGAACGAAAAGTAGGTGTTCGTCGTCGGCGGCATTTATGATATACAATTAACAACGGCGATATTTTATCGTGTTTTGTACATTTTTTAAAATTTTTTTTTTTTTTATTTTTTCCAGAGCCAGAGGCATTTATGTACTGAAAACCAACGGTGTATCGCCGTACGCGCAAGGGAATTGGACTGCAGACGACACACGGACAAAACGATTGAACGATAACTAGTAGTCCGGACGAACGGACGACAATTGATCGGAAATCCTACGTAAAAATATTCTTGTGTTGTTGTCGGCGCGACAAATGTCACTTGTACGGTTGATTATATCATGTAAAATATCATAAAAACCGAGAAATCCATGTGCCGTAGCAATACAGTCGCACTGTATTTCGTCCGGGTAACTGAAGCAGCGGTATTTATTTTAAATACCGCTTGTTACAATGTATTTTAAACAGGCATCCTGTAGAAATATTCGCGATAATATTGTTACAATAAAATAATAAAGTAAAAACAAAATTATTAAAACGTCCGATGTTCGTAAATAAATATAAAAATACAAAAAAAAAACTGTATATACAGAAATACAAAATAAATAACTAAATAATTTCTGTTTCGAATGTAAATCGAATGTTTTTATTTATTTTGTTTAAGTAGTTAACTACATTTTCCGCTTGCCTATTTGAACCTCAAAATACAATGAAAGTGTCATCGACATATCTATAATATGGACTGTATGTTTCGTTGTTAATAATATTATTAGTTTCATAATTTCGCATTCAAATTTCAGATAAAAGAGCACTCAAATAATCACCCGTAACTAACCCATCTTTTTGCCAATATAATTTTTAAATTATATTGGAAACATTTTTGATTAATAATCACGTTTGTTGATCGAATAATTTCTTGTACATCGTTTGTATTGAAATTATTACTATGTATAAGTTTAGTTTTTCTTAAAAATTTACTGTTTCGTGTTTAGGAATGGACATAGATTTTTGAAGTGCAATCATTTTGTAACCTGGCTCAATATTAATTTTATTAATTTTTTCAATAAAATCATAAATCTTTTTTTTTTTTTATAGAAGTAGCAGTTTTCATGTTTAATTTTTTCTTTTGAGAGAGTATAAGTATTTTGCAAAAATATTATTCTTACATTAGTATTATTCGAATATTATTATGTGTCGATCTCTTTTTTTTTTTTTTTTTTTAAATATTACATGTTTCTTTTTTTTTTTATGCCCAAGCGCCCAACGCTTTTGTTCTTAATCGAAAGTCGATATTACAATAATTATTTTTTATCGTCTTTTTATATGTTTATTACATTTTTTTTTTTTTTTTTTTTATCTTCTTCACCTCTCCAAACTTTTATCCGATCAAATCGATTCACCTTTTTAATCGTCGAGTAAATGTCAAAATTCTTCCACGCTATATCCGTTGTTCCGCTGTTTCCTTTCCACGTTGCTCATCATCTTCTTTTTCACTTCCTTGCTAATGCCGCCGCGGTCCGTCTTCGGCGGTTTCCCTCGTTTAGCGCACCTCTCCTTTTACCGTTCTTTTTTTGTAAAACTTAATTTTAAATTTTATATTATGCCGTTATCTCGTTTATCTGAAACTGTGTGAATTGGACCTCGTCCGTATCTGCAGAAATAAATTAAACGCAGTTATCCGGAAAACTTGAGTATTTAATGAAAAATATAGAATACATATACAGTTGGTATGTGGGTTCTGGAATAACAAGAAAATAGTAGGCGAAAATATTTCTCGGGACGCTGTCGCATACCGTTCGTAACGTTAATGTACAGTAGTTCAAATATCTATGTGGCACAGACTGCACTCGAATGAGTACCTATACATTATTTATGAGAAATTGATAGGCACAATTTTTAATAGCGTGGATCGACGTTAGAACAGTTGAAAAGAAAAAAAAAAAATACAAAACCGGACAAACAATAGCATTTCCAATATCGCTTGTAAGCGTTGACGGAAATTAACTTTTAACAAGTTCGTACGCGTGTCGTGAATCGTCGCACACGACTAATACGATCGGTGAGCGATAAGCAGACGCATATTTTTTCGAAATATCACGTGTCATTATACGAACAATTAGTTTCGATTTTTTCCGCCTAACGCGTTTTTGTTATCGAAAACGTCTGTATACTCGCTGGTATTATGGGTAAACGGCGAGTCCCTACACGAGATTACACGGTGAAATAATGGGTACGCATGTTGGTTCCTACACAAACATAAAAATGAGACGAGTCAGTTCCTACATCGTAAAAACGGTCCGCTAAAATAGAAAATTGCATTTGTAGTGTAAATTGCCGATATGCTGTATTTTCGGTGGAAAACCAAAAAGTAATTCAACAACAGTATAATAATATAATAAAATGGATAAGGTGTAAAAATACAATCGCGCTCGTTTCGACCGCTATACTCGATAGTAATAATACGACGATAACTCGTCGACGGAGCTGACATCCAAATTTAATTTTTGAACACGCAAACATACGCGACTTTTCATTATTGACAAAACTGATACAGAAAACTCGTTTTTACACACGGATAACAATTATATCTATCCACAGAGTACCGCACGTCGAGCGCATTTATCTTAAACGTTATAATAATCATAATGCATTTTTTTTTTTTCCCCCCCCCGTTTAATAGATCAAACGCGCACTTTCACGTATCCGTTTAATATACAACATTGTAATGGGGGGGGGGGTTTCTACAATTATAGATTTACACAATTCGCCGTGATATTCATCGTTTTTTTTTCAAGACGTTTTGAAACAAAAACAACGCGTTTCGGCGCGACGCAGGAACACTAACGCGGCGCGTATCTTTTTTTCTGTCGCGCAGGAACCGAAACATACGCGCGTTTTTTTTTTTTTCCCGATCGGCTCGTATCATCCCCGGCGCCGTTAATCGCGCCGACAAACTCGACGCGGTCGGATGAAAACACAGCGTGACGGCGCGACAATATATCCACTGCAACGCGGCCGTCGGTGGCGCGGTTGACGGCCGGACATCGGCGACGACGGTTGAATATTATTTCGCGCGGGGCGCGCCGCGACGGCGCGGTACCTCCGTCCCCGAACCGTACCCGGGTGCGTACCGCGCCGCCGTGTTTCCTCGCCGCGGAGGGGGAAGTGGCGGGGCGGGGGGTGGGGGGTGCCCCGGCGGCCGCGGTTACGGGACGATCCGCCGCGGCGCGGTTCGCTCGACTCGACCGGCGGGCACGACCGACCCGCGTTTATAACACCCGTCGCCGTTATTGAACGGACGTTAATTTTTCGGTCGTGCGTCTCGGGCGCTCCTTTGGGAGATAAAAAAAAAAAAAAAAAAAGTATCCTCGAAAATATCCCCGGTTCGAATTGCGGCTGGCAGTCGTAACGAACCGAATAATATTACAGCGCGGTGGCCGCGACAGCGCGAATTTCGATAAAAAAAAAAAAGTACAATTTCACGAATTCATTATTTTATAAAACCACGGAAGACGTTTTCTATTCGGTTATAAATGCACGCACAGACTTGAAACTTGGTAATAATACTTATACTACCCTTACCTGGACGTCGTAAAATTTCCAAAATAATCGAACGATTTTTTTTTTTTGTTTTTTAATATTTTAGACCACTTATATCCTAGAAAACTTGCTCCGATGTATAAGTGTAGCACCTTTTCTGAAAATCAATTTTATCTTCTTGGTGAATACATAGGATATTTTTTAATTTTCGAAACGGTGTTTAAAATAAAAACGATTAACCGGGGAAAAAAATTCGATTTTTTCACGATTTCGTTATTTTAATTAAGTACCTACCACGTTTTCTAGCACAAATATGGTTCCAATTGAAAAGCGACAAGAGACCTTTTTTGTTGAATTATTAATGTTGTGTATATTAATGCAGGTCTTTTTTGGATTTTTGAATTAGTTTTCATAATAATCGGGAAAAAACGTAGGGAAAACGTACAGTTTCCCGATATCATTGTTTTACGTTAATAGGAAAAACGTTTATTATTAGAATAAGTGCTTTAACCGCGAAATGACAAGAAACCTCTTTTGTTCGGGAAGCGTCTCTAGAGATTACCTACTTTTGAATTCGTTATTAAACATTGTATCCAATTATTGTTTAATTATTTGAATGCGAATGGTCATATTTGTAATATTATATTCCGTAATTATTAAATGGCTAGACACAATAATTAAATAAACGAAATTAATATTTATGTATTATCATTCGGGAAATCAAATTATCTTTGTTAAAGGGACAATGAATTATAATAATTATTATTTCGAAATGGCTCGAGACAGGATAGATACCCTAACAAGGATTCGAGTACCTACAGCATTTATTTTAACCGCGGCAGAAATAACGAGATAAAAAAATAATAATAACTGAAAAAGCGCCCAGAAAACGATTTAGTTTTATTGCGTGGTTTATTCCGCTTACATTGCCTACGGTAAAATATGATATTATTATATTAAATTGTATCATGTATTTGGTGTACACAGCAGAGGTCACGTACATTGCACATACATTCACGCGCAAACCCGTATTATGGGTGGAGTGGGCAGGGACATGTAGGTAATTAATAATCGGAATGACCCACGTACTCGGCATCCAGCACTCGGTGTTGAACATAATATTATTAAGTTTTAGATTCTTTGTTTTCGTAATATTTAATGCGAATGTCTGATCGGGTGTCAAAAACTAGAATTCTCAGGGGAGTCTAGGTCGGAGGCTGGAGGTCAATGAGCCAGACTTTGGCCAGAGGAACGACGGGTTCGAGTAGCAAGCGTCGGGCGGACTCGTTGCGTTTCGGTTTTCCTATACTATATCATTGATTATAATCATGAAGTATGAACGAATATAATATGAACTGGCAACGGAACCAATTTCTGCGGTCGACATTTTCGTGAAGGGTGTAATCCAGAAACGAGGTACAGATGAAAGTTATCCGTTATCTGAAACTAACTTCACGGGGAGTCTACTTAAGTCAAGGAAAAACTTTATGAAGACAACAACTAGTCCATCACAAACGCCCGAAGCAACAATAATAGACTTATGGCAGGAGGAAACATTAGATACAATCTCACAAATACGGATAGACCCGAATGAAAATTTACCCCTTGCAGCTACTTACCGTGAACATGTAAGACACTTTAATATGATAAGAACCAAAACTAAAAGGACGGCTGGTAATATGAGGACAAGAGGACGGGAAATGTGATGTGTGGCGAGGAGCAACACGCAGGCCGTTTGTCTACACGCTCACTCTTATCGGGCAAGTATAGAGAAAGGGAATTGATGATGAAAAACGAATAATGATATCACATACATGGTAATTCGATTTCAGTAGATTTCGGAAGGAATAGGAACGTTAAGCTGGAGTCCGACACGAAAAGAAGAAGCGACTATTCGACGTTTCCGTTCGAAGGGAAATGTTACGATTATCGAATTAATTTCCGATAGACGATCAAGTCGTATTACCGAAAAAAACTTAACGAGTGCCTTTGTGCGAAAATATTATCATTCCGTTTCGAAACCTGAATCATATTTCGTATATTATTACACCGTGTTCA